TCAGCAGGTGGCAGTCTTCCCTCCACATCCAGCCAGCCCGTGTTTTGTAATCCTGCAGGAGTGCTTCACTGTTAAAGGGTGTTGCAGGCACTCAAAATTCCTCCAGTTACAACTACCCACAGGATTATTTCGTGTCTCATTTTGTCAAAAGAAAAAAAAATTGTTTAAATACAAACCATATTCTGGGCTAGAGACAGAAGTAATGGCAAACAAAAAGAGGATTGTTCTAATTAAATGTTTAAAGAGACTAGATATAAAATGTATTTAAATACATATATATAGAAATACATAAAACCTTACTATAAAAGGTAGATACCGTCCTCATACTGCCAGAGGCACCTTCAAAGCTGGCAGTTTCCAAAAGAGACTAAAACTTTGATTCTCAACTCCAACTTGATTTCCACATCCAATTCTTAAGGTTTTTAAGTACATACAAATTCTGTCAATAGCTTGGAGGACAAGAATATTGAATTCACATACCTAAAAATGTTCTTTGCACTCATGTGAAGTAACAGAGAGTAATTTTGATATAGTATATGAATACAACAGTTAGAACATAATTGTGCTATTTAAAAATTATTTTTAAAAGGTAACCTTGAGGCACTACTGCCTCTGTTAAGTTAGAAGAATGAACCACCTGCATGTCTCTTAACCCAAACACCATCACATAACAGTAGATAATATAAAAAAATCATCCTTTGAAAAGCTCCTGCTTAAGCGCTGAAAGGAAAAAAATATTTGTAAAAATTAAAATTACAAACAAAAGCCAAAGCTACTACAGAGATATTGCTCTTCAAACACAATCTTCCCTCTTAGACATGATTGCTCCTCACATGCAGTGGGAATGGCTTAGAAGGACTTGTGTTTTATCACCAGGCATACAAAGTGTATCTGAGAATTCTCAAAAGCAACATCATGAGGAGAAGTAATGTACAACCAAAACAAAAAATAATCCCTGAAGTTGAAAAATATATCAGTTAAGAATAAAAATTTTGTCTGTGTAGAAAGACCCCACTACATCTAAGCAGGAGTCATGCTCTTCGAAGGAGGGCTTGATGAAGAAATTACCCATTTCACAGGTCTTACATTGTCCCTTTTTAATGGGATGTATTTCATCTTGAGAAATTTATTCACAGAAGGAGCCTGAAGGGAATGTGGAAATCCGGGGCTTGTTCAAGGGTTTTTGTTTTCTTTTTCAAAAAATACATATTTCTGTTTTACGTGGTAGATGTCAGTCTGTCTGATCACAGAAACTTAAAAAGATTTATGAAGAACTACTGATTTTAGAAAAATGCCCTCACTGTCAACTAATACAGTTGATTAAGCTCATAGTCAGTGATTGATTAACTGAGAAATGTCTGCTTTCCTGGTCCTGCCAGGCTAATGGAATTACTCCTCCAAGGCTAAAAACTGACTTCAAAAATAGAAAATACATGGAATAAGGATCAGCTTTTCAAATCGTAACAAAATGCAGCCGCTGAGACACCTCTCCTCTCTGTAGCCACCATCTAAGTACTGGAACACAATCATGAGGGACCCCCTGAGCCTTCTCTTCTCCAGGGAGAGAAGACCTGACTCCTTCAGTCTTTCCTCATAGGATAGGTTCTCCAGCCCTTTGACTTGTGGATCAGTTCTACAAAATTCAAACTAGAGAAAAGGCATTACAAAAATACAGGAATGCTTAGGAGAACCATCTCTAAGTCATCTAGTACAAGAGTGGATTCCATGATCCCAACTTAAATTTTTCTTCTCCTAGTTTTGTTCCAATACTCTCAGCCACTTTCAGTGGTAGGAGGAGCATTAAGCCCAAAGAGCCACACTCCTTAAGGAGGGACCAAACCAATATAAATTTCCTCCTGTGCCACCTGGGTGTCTCCCACAATCAGCTCACTGCAACAGGGCACTTGCTTCTTATTAGTCATGAGCCAGACAAGGATGAAAACACAGGAGATGATAAATTTCCTTCATCCTAAATTTGCAAGAAGACTTTTTTTGCACTTTTCTCAACTGATCTTCCCTTATTTCATCCCAAATGCTGAAACTCACTAACAGAAACTTACATAGGATACAGTCAGGGTAGAGCTCTTTGTGGTTTACGTCCTGGGACTGAATGGACATTCCAATGTCAAGATCTGTCTACTAAATAACCAACTACCATTTAACTTGTGCATTTTGGTTTGTTTTCTCCAGGCCATCATAGTGTACAGCTTTCTCAGTCTGAACCTGATGACTCAAATATCAGTCTTTCCAGGTTTCTCCAGATCAGTGATAACTGCTTCTGGTTCCAACATACAACCACTCACAAATATTATCAGGATAGTATTTACACTTCTGCACTGCTAATGGACAAGGTAAATAAACTCATGGCCTTGTGTGAAATCTAACAGACACATCATAACAAATCTATATGTTATTATTTGTCCTCGCCCTGTGTTTAAATGTCTTTTGGCTAATACCAGTCTTAGTTTGGAAGATTTTATATATTCCCTTATTATATTAGTTCAGAGCTGGGAGATTCTCTTTAACCCAAGACTGAAATAGTTTTATAAGCCACGTTTCAGGACACTTTATTGAATGTTTTCTAGAAATCCAAACGTCATACCAGTTATACTTCTGCCAACCGCTCATTCTGCAAATATATCATAAAAGCAAAATGAGCAAAATGAATCTTGTGCAGTGTATTATTTACAAATGACAGCTGTTTTGGGAAAGCCAAAAATGATACTCTCCATTATTTTCTCTGTTATTTTTCCCTTGCTTTACCGAAGAGAACAAACAATTGTCAAAAACATACTTTACTATAATCATAAATGGATACTACCACAATTCTACCCCTTTTCCTTTTCTGTGAATTTATGAATTATATGAACTATATGAATTTTCTGTAAACACCATAAACAATGCTCTGGGTTCTCATCCTTCCCTCTTCCACCTCCAAAATGTCATCACTGGCATAGCAATTTTATTAGCTTTTGGAGAAGTACCAGTTGAAGCAGCAAGTTTTCCTAGTACAACATCTTGCCTGTTTTTTCCTCACTTCTGCTCACTATTCAAGTATTGCTATTATCTTAAGTAACCTCATCAAACAAAGATTAGAAACAATAATAAGTCCAAAAGACCTCAATATGTTTGGAGTACAGGTATTTTTGTATCCCAGAGTAAATGTAAAATGCTAAGGAGACATAAATTACTTCAGTCTTCAAAATATGTATATAAAGAACTTGAAAGACCATGAAATATATTGTGTACAGGTAAAAATTTCATTAGCAGTTGAAAGTGTTTAAGAAACAAGACCTAAATGGTTGCAGTCATAATCGATTCACCAGATGAAAAGAAGTCAAATGTTTAGAAGCATGGTAAGAATACACAGAGACATCAGCCATGCTTAAGAGAATGAGACCTTCAAGCGTGTGACAGTAGGATGTAAAACACACGATCACTATGTATTTTGAAGGTTTCATCGTTCACAACTGGAGATACCAACAGTAAGTTAGATGGTCATCAAAAAGAGTACCGTTGATGCATCCTCTAACATGCATATTTATTTGAAAAAATAGATTAATCTTTCCCCAATGTGGTAGCGAATTACAGAACAGGGATAACAGATCACAGCAAAAACAGTTATTCAAAGGCATATTAAATGATATGGCAAAGTGGCTCCTGCAGAATCAGTTATCTGTGCTGATCAGCGTAAACAGATACTCAAAGTTGTCACTGCTGTTTATTCTAAATCGAGGTATATTTATTTCACTTGCACAGACTGGAAAGTTGTTTAAGGGAAAAAAAAGGATGGGGAAACATACCTCTGATAAAAACGTCTGGGCTGATTTCTGTGCTCCTACATGGAGCAGATATTCATAAACGTACAGTGCTAATCTGAAAAATAAACAAAAAGGACAGTATTTAGTATTGTGATTTTGTTTGCTCCTCTTCTTTAGAAACAAATGGTTATTGGAAGTTTGAGGTACCTTTCACAAACCCCTGTATACTGAACATATCAAATCTACTACCTGTACCCAAATTTTTAAACTGGACACTCAGGTCAATTTGCCCACAGGCGTCTCAACAGTAGTTAATTAAATATTATTACGCCCCAAAATTATTTAATGTCAACATTTTTTATAATATTTGGACAAGTGCCCAACCGATCTACTGCTGCTCTGTATTTGCCCATGCTATACCACACTTCCTGTAAATAAGATATATTCATATAGCAACATCAATTGTTTTCCCAGACTAATTTTTTTTTTACATGTGGAATATATCAAGCTGTTAGCACAGTTGAACAATAGCCTGTGTTTATTCGAAGAACACGCAAACTTCAGGCTGCATCAGGAAAACTAATCCCAGCATCCAGCCATGGCATGCAGTATAACCACATCTCTCAAGCAAAGTGGAAACACATTTTTAGATTCATTTAGACTTGTGCATCTAGGAGTTCTGATGACAAGATCTACGAACGACGGTCACAGCTCCCAAAGGAGGTTCACAAAAAGTGATATTCAGCACTCAGGCACATCTCTAAGTTCAAAGAGCCAGAATAAGGATCTCACTGCAGAAAGAGGACTCGTACCCCAAATGACAACCCACCAGAACTTGGGCTGGGAAGCCTCGTCCAGCAGCCCAAGAAGAGGGGAGCAGTAAAAACAACCAATTCCTATTCATACAGGCTATGTAGGCTAGGGTGTAATTAGAAAACCAAGGAAGCAGCACTTTCTATTCATCAGCTGACTCTCCAGAGAAGCTCATGTCTGTCTGCATATTTCAAGTATTTCTAAATGAAAACTCATTTAAAAGTATGCTTTAATAATAATGCTTGGAAATTGTCTATAGAACACATTGGTTTGACAAAAGAAAGTCAGGCTGTGCGTCTTTTAAATTTGCTACCTGAACTGCTTTGAAGAAGTAAAATGTATCTGCATGCCCTTTGTGATACACTTCTTATTTGAAATATTTTGCTACTTGTATTCAGAAATATGTAGTTTAATTTTAAAAAGTAGAGATACATAGAGTATCTATTTTCCTGTTACTGTTCAAAACATATGCAACGTTACATGCATCACGGCACTGATGACAGTAGTAATTATTGCAGTAATCTACTAAGTGTGAAGCTTTAAGGAGTGGAAATTTTAGAAAAGGCATTCTGTAAGAATTGTTTTCACTAGTTGTTTGTACTTTGCACATGCAATACAGACACTGCTTTACTCTCCAGCTTTAAAAGCAAACATGTACTTTTTTTCCTGAAATTTAAAAAAAAAAAATATGCTTAAATAGGACTGGTTTTAGTCTGAACCTCGAGAAGGGTGCTATTCACTTTTTAATTCCAGTATTTTACAAACCAGTCATTTATTCATTTGTATTGTGCCACATCAAAGGCAGAGCTCAGTGTGCTAGGCAGAAAACACTTGGCTCTTCTCGTGGAGTGCACTCCCATCCAGGGCTCAAGCTCAGAGAGGACGTGGTGATATGCCTCTCTAAGTACCGTGGAGAGGGAGAGGATTACTACTCTCTAGCCTCTCAACCCGAAAGCACAACTTCATCTGTCAAAAAAAAAAAAAAAAAAAGACCACATCTTGTTGACTTAATTCTTCCCAGTTCAACTATCATGCAATTTTTAAGCAATAAATGGCTGTAGACAAAATCTAAGAAAGAGGTAAAAGGCAGAGAGGAAGCACTTTCTGCAACAGACAAAATGACTTGAATACCCAGTAATGCTTTAAAGCATCTCATTTGTCTTCTGAGATTCCCTTTTTTGTTCTTATCAAAACATGAAGCCTGCAGTCCAGATAACAGGATTTGTGTGATCATATCCTTTCTACCCCGCAAAGGAAAACGAAACAGCACAAAACCCAGGAGTTTATTGCTGGCACACCACCTTCATAAGTCTGCCATCTTTTGAAAGCTTTAGCAAATACTGCACCATGATACCCAAATTGACAGCACAATGCTTTAATATCAAGACAGATTTGCAAGTCTCATCTCAGGATTCCTGGAGTCTGCCTGCAAAACACTGCACACGCAGCCATGCTCCAGCACCAGTCAACATCACTACCCTGTGCCCATCTTCTCTGGCCCAAAAAATCCAGACCATTTCAACACTGCAAAAAAGATAAAACTTCGACATAAATACAAAGCATTTGCTAAATTAATTGTAATTAAATACATAACATCTCCGACTCTTTGGCATGCATTATTACATCTTGGCCTAAACATATTAGCAGTGACATGAAATTGTGCAACAACTGTGTTTATTAAGCGTGGGGGGTAAACAAGGTGCATTTCGGAAAGAAAGAAAAAGAAACCAACAAATATTTCAGGCTTCCAAGTTGATGCACCTACGCTAAATCAAGAAAGAGCAGAACTACACTGGCAAGGGGACTGCCTGGCTCCTGTGACAGGAAAGCCAGGACCACCTTCCATGAACAGATCTGAGAGAAGGCACTACATAAAATAACCTGATTGCATCTTATTAGATCCAAATCACTGGTCCGCTCCTAGTTCCTACGCTGTCAGGAAGTCTTTACAGAAGTTAACAACATTACAGCTTCATTCATAAATAAATGCATTTACCACAGAGATCAAAAGAAAGATACTAATGTTTTACTGGCATTAGTAGCAGCAAAAGTATCAATGGAAACTGATGCTCTGAGGGAAGACAAGAAAGAAAACCAAAAAAGATGGAACACTGTGTAACAAGGAGGATTACCAACTATATGAACTGCTGTATTAACTACAGTGCAAGACCAGAATAAGATAAAAATTAGGCTGCAGTCCAAGTGTGTAAAATGAACAAATTAATAAACTATTCAGTACCTCAGCAGATGACTAAGCAAGTGAGATGGTCTTCAATACCAAAGGACTTGGGATTGAAGTGGCATTTTAAAAGACTGGTTTTGGTTATTAAACTGGTGTGAGAAACTGTATAAAAGCAGCAAGGAGACATATGTTAAATTTTCACATTTGCATACTTGTTGACATCCCACGACTAATGTGAGGAAAAAATATTTTCAATCAATTTATTACAATGCTGAAGTAAATTTTTTGTTAAAGACATGCCATAGGCCAGAGTTTCCCCCTCCCCAACAAGACAAACAGATCACACATTCATCTATGAAATGATGATACATTCACTCTACTATTTTTTTTAAAAAAAGTTACTGTCTAGCTCTTATTGCTACAGTGCTCATTTTGTTAAGCTGGTGCTAAATTGGTGTGTTTTGCCTGAGGTGTCTACTCTAATTGGACAAGGCATTTGTACAACCTACAAATATCTATTGAACTCAGAAGAGAAGAACCATTTACACGGTTCTAGTCAACGAGTTATCAGAATATTACCAGGAAATAAACAGTAATCACTCTAACTGTTCTGTGGAAATTATCTTCTTACATGTTAAGGTAGGAAAATGCAATTAGCTTAATGAAAACTTAAATCCAAGCCTTGCAGCAGCATGCCCCCCCACTGGTGAAAACTAGGTGGCAAACTCTCCCAGTTCCAAATCAAAAGATTAATACAATGCCTCTTTCTATAAAAATGAAAAGCTGAAAGCATCAGGAAAACATTCACTTTATCTGGTTTCGGTATCTAAGGTGCTCTCAGTCAAACTCCCTAAACCAACCCAGCAAGCTTCACTGACTGTGGGTAGGATACTCAGATAACTGTCCAGAGGAGCATATGCCTACAGGAGAGGGGCTCAAGTTATTATCACAAACTCTTTTGGGAAATAATTTGTCCATAGAAGGTAAAACAGTCTGATCTGTGTTACACTCCATAAGAAGACACGTACCAAGAAATGTTTGTCTCTCAGTCAAAACTGGCCTTGAAGCACTAGGTTTCATTTATCATCATTTCTTAGGAGACAAAGGAAAAAAGGCAAATGGCCACATTTTTCCATGAGTTCCAAAGTTGGCCTTAGAAAAGTATGGAATTGCAACAAATTAACTTCTGCTTTCTCCTGAAAGCTGCCTAGTAAACCTATCAGAAGGACATGACATATTATAGTTCCATGCAGTTGAGAAGAAGTGAAATTGTTTTCATTGTTTTATTAGCCACATCATAACCAAAAATACATGTAATTTAACTGAGGGCAGAGTGGTGTATAACCGTTATACACAGCAAGTTATAAAATCAATACGATGGAGCAAGAGCCTGCACCTCCCCAGCTCTGGCAGTGTGTCAAAGCACAGTTCAGGTACTGTGCCTGACTTCTGCAGTGCCAACACTCAGCTCACCACTGTGATAAGCAACTGCTGCCTCCTCACTGCCACATTTGTGATGGTGAATGACTGCACATCACAGAAATCTCCCTAGATGCTACCATCTCCTCCACCTGCAACAGACATTAAGCTGTTAAAATCTGATGCTGGATCTTAAAAAAAATAAAAAGGACATATAATGGGAACATTCCACACCTGAGCATCACTAAGATAGATCTAGCATTTCTGGATTGTTGACAATATTTTAAACTATTAATGGATGGAAAGTTCTGCATATGGCACACCATTCATTTAACGTTCAGCTTTTGAAACAGGAGTTAAAAACCAGAATGAACACTAGTAAATGCATATTCATATGTAAGTTTTATTTTGTGTGAAGAAGAAGCAGCTGAGCAATATTTAAAAAATCCATAGAAATTTTAGAATTTAGACTATTCTAAATCATACATTTCAATAGAACATAGAAAAGTTCCATTGGAAAAAGTTTAAATATTCCTGTTTGTTTCAGGAGACTCACAGTATTCCAATATCACTACTCTGACCTATACAGAGAAACAGATTTTTTTGTTTGTTTCCAAAAACGTACGCAGATTTCATTTCAAATCCAGAAAATCCTAGGAATCTCTCTCACTAAATCCATATTTTAAATGTAACACAACAGCTAAAACTATCTCAAAACTGTGGTTTCTTGAACAAATTTTCTTGAATCCATCAATCC